TTATCTTCCACAGAGGTGTTCTTTAGACCCCTGTGATTGATTTTCAAGGGAAAAAAAATTTTCCAAAATTTTGCCCTTAGACACGGTAGGCATAGTCAAGTCCTTTTGAGAAGGAGCATAAAATGGCATCCGAAAAACAAGGGCAGATGCCCAATCATGAGGCTGTTATAATTATACACACCTGCTATTGAAGGACCGTACATAGCGCTTCTTGTCGATTTGGAATAATATTTTAGCAGCCACTATAGGACATCTCCCAAAAGTTCAGCGTTTGCTTGTGAATCTGGTATTCCTCTTGCATGTTATTGTCTTGTACTTCCACAAAGCTCCCAGTTCACATCATGACAATGGTCTGAGTCCTTTTTTTCATGACTAGTACCGTATTTCCACAAATAGTAGGCCGGTCTACTATTTTTTCAACCTCGTCCTAACCCGGCCTTATAATCGAGGACGGTCTTGTATTCGAGGACGGTCTTTTATTCTTTCAACCCAGGTTGACCCCGGTCTTCTATTTCTCCCCACACAGTTTTACCCCCGTTCTTCCATTTTCTTCTACACAGTTTGAGCACGGTCTTCTATTTTTTCCCACAGTTTGAGCACGGTCTTCTATTTTTAACACAAGAACAAAGACTCGTTTAGTAGGCCCGGTCTTCTAATCGGAGACGGTCTTTTATTTTTTCAATCGGACCCTGCCCCGGCCTTATATACGAGGAAGGCGTTGTAAACGAGGACGGCCTTTTATTTGCGGAAATACGGTATCTGTTCTAAATAACCGACGAGGAGACAACAGTCGTAAAATAGCAATGAAAAATATCAATTGTGCACTCATAACCATGTATAAACAATTAAAATGAAACAATTCCAGAACGTTTTCGTGTGACTATCATCAGTGGAACATCGTCACATAGTAAGAATCACTAAAACAACCAGTTATATAGCTAGAGTAATATGAAAAGAAGCGTGAGAATGCAGCACAGCTAACCGCTAGCTGTGCTGCATTCTCACGCTTCTTTTCATAGTACTCTAGCTATATAACTGGTTGTTTTAGTGATCCTTACTACCGTACTGGCAATATATGTTGCCGCGTAACGCGTAACGCAGGGGGGTGCGGCGTAACGCGCGACCAGGCTAGTGCGACAAATTTTCGTTGAGTTCGTAACGCGCGTCCGGCGGGGTGCGGCGATCTGAAAGATTTGGATAATGGGAAAGTTGTTGGCGTAGTGCTCGCTGATGTCAGGAAAGCGTTTGACAGCGTCAATCACCAGTTGCTGTTGAATGAGTTATTTGATTGTGGGATTGGTGACTCGGCTCTGGCATGGTTTAAAAGCTACCTGAGTGATCGAACGCAGCAGCTCATTGCACCAGAGGGCCTGCCACGCGTGCCATGTACGCAGGGTGTTCCGCAGGGGTCTGTTTTGGGACCTATCCTATTCAGCCTCTATGTCCGTGGTCTTCCCTCATGCGTCAACAGTTCCACAGTTCTGCAGTTTGCGGATGATGTTAATATGTATGCAGCTGGTGACTCTGCTGAGGAAGTCATCGGAGCTTTGAACGGAGATCTGGCCAAGCTGTCTGTCTACCTGGAAGAGAAGCGCATGACGCTGAACCCAGCAAAGACGAAGTTCCTCCTCCTTCACAGAAAGACAACAGCAGTGCCTGGTTCCGCCAGTGTCGTCATTGACGGCGTCCATGTTCTTCGAGCGCAGTCCGCACGCTATCTTGGCATTGTCATTGACGAGCACCTGACTTTTGGGCCACAAATTGACGGTTTGATTGGGTCTGTCAACAGGAAACTCGGCGCCTACCGCATGTCAAGACATCTCTTGCCATTCCACGCACGGCGTAGCTTTTACCTTAGTGTTATTCAGTCGTCATTGGAGTATGCAAGTAGCGCATACGTCCACACCCTCAGTTCTTACTATTTCGATAAGTATGTCCGGCTATTTAACAGGTGTCTAAGAATAGTTTTTGGTTTCGATAACTTTACCAGTGCCTCTCATATTCTTAGCCTATACAATCTCTCTCACATTTCTGTCCGAGTCAATTTGAAGCTTTTTATTCTTGTATTTCGCTCTGTCCATAGCGGCACATGTAGCTCCCTCCTAAAAGAAATTTTCCATACCCGCTCCTCCAGTGCACATACTACTTCCGTCACTAGGTCCCAAATCTCTTTTTCTCTGGCCTTGCCTTCTGCCCACACTAAAGCTGGTTTTTCTCGTCTTGGCTACATAGGTTCTGATCGGTGGAATATGCTGCCTTCCACTGTTCGCTCTTGTACAGATTATCGCCCATTTGTTCGTTCATGCTTAACCTTTCTAGGGGCTCCCGTAAGAAGACCATAGGTCTGTGGGAAACACCCTAGTAAAATAAATAAAATAATAATAATAAATAATAATAATCTTTTCACTCAAAATGATGCGGCAAAAGCAAAAAAATGATGCGCCAATAGCAAAAAAGTGATGCGGCAATAGCAAAAAAAGGACTGCGGCAATATAGAAACCTGTGTAACGGCTCCTGTGCGACTTTGCATGTAACGCCCTGCGTGCGGCAAACATGTGCCAATGTAACGCTTCATGGCCTCACTGCGGCAATGATGATATTATTATATTGCCAGTACGGTATGTGACGATGTTCCACTGATGATAGTCACACGAAAACGTTCTGGAATTGTTTCATTTTAATTGTTTATACATGGTTATGAGTGCACAGTATCTGTTCTTTTGGTCTTTTTGGCGAAGCATATAAAAGGCATAGTTGGCTGTTTTCTGGAGCATCCTGCGAGCATCCGCTAGAGCATAATCGGGTCATTTCCCGAGCATAATCCGCTTACCCATAATCTACAACATGTACATGTACATGACGACAGGACTAAAAAAAAGGCCAGTAAAAAGCTGATCTACGGACTACGATGCTGGCCAAAGATATCCAACCTCGTGAATAAACTACTTATAAAGACAGAAGCGCCGCGTTCCACTTCCAGTGCACAGACCAGCACTGCATATTGTGTAGTGCTAGGGGCAGGGCTGCGTACTAGCGCTACTGTGTTTTATTGCGCTATTTTATTCATGAGGTTGGACTGCTTTGGTGAGCTGTGAGCGGTGCACAGACTCGACTGTCTGTACTGTAGTGTAGATCTACTAGTCTTGCTATGCATGAATGAATGTAGCCATGGAGCACCATGACATCATGCACACTAACGTGTACATGTAGATGAATCACGTGCAATATCTCACACACATCCAGCACTGCATGCAGGCTACAGCAGTCAATAGGGGCAAGGCGCCATTGTGTAGACCCAGTAGACGAGACAGAGAGAGAGGCAGAGAGAGAGAGAGAGAGAGAGCTAGCCTAGAAGCCCGCGGCTCGATCGAATGAGCCAGCGTTGCGATCTGCATGCAGGAGAGATAATCATGGGCCCAGTGTCCGCAAGGCTGGGGCCGGGGCTGCACAACGAAAATAGCATACTTTTCTCACGTGATCCGACGTCATTTTGGCAGCTCCGCACATCCACCTGGGAGTCGCAAAATACCGATATTTTAGAACTCCCTGGTACTGTATAAGTACAAATTTTCGTTTGGAATTATCTTTTGCATAATTATTCGTTAGGAGGCACGAAATAACTAAAGTTTCTACCAAACTAAAGTAAAGGTTTTTTCTGAGCGTTCGGGGTGACAGACCTCGACCAAAAACGAAATTTAGTACATAACAAGCCTGCTGGTGGAGTGATCTCACGAAAGATTTCGTGAACAAAAATTTGTACTTCTACAGTATCTACCGTACGTTTCTCCAGCCTCACATGCTCAGAGAAAGTAATACTACTACGAGGTGAATTGCTATTTCTGGACATTGTACATTTCTGGACATTTCGAGTAAAATAATTTTTCGTCGCGTGTAGAGTCAAGTCAGTCAGGTTGATGAAGTTTTTTCTTGTTGTAGTTGACAGCTGGGCTGTTGTAGTTTCTCCTCGTGTCGGTGCCTTGTTGATAGCCTTTTCTTGGGAGGCATTTCAACGAGTTTTGTGGTACTATGTCGCATGAGAATTTTGAATTTTGAGTAAAATAAGAAGTAATGGACGAATTGTTGGCTTCCCCATGTGCACTTCACTTCAGACGCTGTATAGTCTTGGACCTGTTAGCTGGAAGTGTGAAGAGGCCAACTGCAGTCCACCAATAGAAAAAATAACAAAAATGGTGCAGTATAGGATGCCTATTGACGCTATTTTACTTTCATGTCCAGAATTCCATACACTGAAATTTAGGCCAAAAAATTGGCCTGTCGAAAACATCCTGCTATAAAGTCTCTGGGATCACAGCATGAGCAATTGTCACATATTTGGAAAGATGAAGGATTAAGCCATACAATAGATACAAAAAGATATGAAAAATGTAAAACACACAGCCAGTGGGCTTCTATTTTATTTTCATGTCCAGAAATTGCTATTCACCTCGTACTAGTAGACATATCCAAGAATACGTCTTGACTATACGACTCTGTAGATCTACGAATCCAAGGACGGTTAGGTGCTGGTGTCCAGTGTTGACGAAACTGTCAAAAGACTGGTGCATGATTGTGCATGTAGGCTTGTACTAGTTGCAGACTCTCAACCAACGTCGTCGTTCTCGTATTACTAGTATTAGCATGAATAGTAGTACTACTACAGTAGTACTACCAAGCGTACATCACCGGGTTATGTACGCTTGGTAATACTCAGGTTTATGACGGGGGTGCGGCCCGCGGCGCAACGACTGACTCGGTGAGGTCGGAAGACCACGGAGAGGCGCGCGCACCGCGTGGATCTGCCATCCTGGCTTGGATCTACGGACAGGCAGTTCATGCAGCGCTTTGCGGACAAGCCAATAATGATAACAGTCAGTGAGTTTGAGAACGGCACAGATCAATCAGCTGTCAGTTGAGCCACACTATGGACAGACACTGAGACAGTGAAGATGACTAGTCTACTGGCTGGAGTTCAGCCCTTCGTCTTTTCTAGATCAGCTGGCTTTGTCAGTAAAAGAAATTTCCTTTGCGGAAAATTGTATTTTACGAGTGAGTTTTTCTTTAGACTTGGGATAGAATTCTTGCAGTTTGCGAAGTATTGTAGATGGTAGCGGTGCTTGCTGAGTGAGAGACCACGCTACATATGGTGCCATTGGTGGTGAGTACTTTGCCGCTGTTTTTCCATGTGTGTGGCAATTGCGTGCTGTGTGTGTCTGTGTGTGTGTGTGTGTGTGTGTGTGTGCGTGTGTGAGTGTGTGTGTGTGTATGCTGGTTACCCCAGCAAGTGTAGGGTGTGCATAGGTAACTGTCTTGGCCGTTTTATGCCGATGTACTCCGTGTGGTGTAGACCATGTGTGCATTGGTGGTCGATTCACATGGCTTCGCCAGTTGTGTGGATTAGACAGTTATCTGGCGCTAGTCTTGATCTGTCTCATTCAGATCTTGTTCGCTATCGTTGCTACAAGAGAAAACCTGTGGGTGCACATCCAGTGCATTTGCAGATTTGCGTGCTTCTCTTGCGACGGGCGTATACATGGCGTATATATGGTGTGTGTGTGGGGGGGGGGGGGAGTGGTGGATGTGTGTGTGGATGTGTGTGTGTGTGTGTGTGTGTGTTTGTGTCTGTGTGTTTTTAGCATAGTTGTGATTGGAGGGAGAGGGCATGACGGGGTATGTACAATGTCTGTACATGACTGTACTACGTGCAGTTTATCAGCAGAAATACATGATTGTGGGAGTGGGAGTACAAGTACAGTGTTGCTCAATGAAAGTACATGCCAGGCGTTGCGCAGCCCTAAAGCGGGATTCACAGAAGCTTTTTTGCGATGCGACAGCCGCGAAGCTTGCAAATCCCCAAATCGCAGCCACCCCACACCCCACGCAACTGCCGCATCTGGGCCATCGCAGAAGTTGAGCTTGCTCAACCTTTGCGATGCGACAAGCGATTTGGCGTACGATTTTGACCTTTTCTACAGCAAATTTGTACAAATGTTCAAGAGTTGCCTATTAATTTTTACAAGTTTTACGAAGGGAGAATGAAATTGAAGACACCACTGCAGCTGTACTTATGGTTGATAAATAGGGTGGTAAAGACACACCTGGCTATATGGCGGTAAACACACGCCTGCCCACACACACTCTCTAGGCTGCAAAGTTCTGGCACAGAGCTCTCCTTCTCACCACCACCACCATCGGTTCGCGCCTGGCGCCTGGTCGATGCATGGCTGGTGGTATTTGGCATAGCAGGCTGGTACATCAAGTAGCGCATGGCACATAGATGATGACACAGCAACGACATAGCTCGATTGCGACGTACGTTTCGTCCCCGCTGAACTCATCAGGCAATCTTCTTCTTGGATGTCTTCATACGGAGCTTGACTCGGGAGAATGAAATTGAAGACGCCACTGCAGCTGTACTTATGGTTGATAAATATGGTGGTAAAGACACACCTGGCAATATGGCGGTAAACGCACGCCTGCACACACACACTCTCTAGGCTGCAAAGTTCTGGCACAGAGCTCTCCTTCTCACCACCACCACCATCAGTTCGCGCCTGGCGCCTGGTTGAAGCATGGCTGGCGGTATCCGGCATAGCAGGCTGGTACATCAAGTAGCGCATGGCACATACATGATGACACAGCAACGACATAGCTCGATTTTAGGAAACCACGCGAATACCATGGTGACATACCCACCTGCAGTGAACTTCGCGCCAAATCAGCAAGGCGTTGTCGCATCGCTGACTTCTTCTGTGAATGGTATTTCGCGAGTTCGCAGATCACGTCGCATCTTGTGTTGCATCGCAAAAAAGCTTCTGTGAATCCTGCCTTAACCTGCAAACACTAGGCTGCGAAATGCGTGTAAGGCACCACAGTGCAAGGCACGAACTTGACCCACACCACCGGATTTTATTGAGCAACACTGCATGTAAAGAAGCGCAGTCAGTAATGAATGAAAATTGTAGTGTAAAATTACACCGAAAAGAAAGTTTGTACTCTAACCCGGTGACAGTAGAGTACACCAGTCAATACATTGTACTGATGTATGTAATCAACGTGTACTGATGTACGTAATAATAATTATAGTGTACTGAATGTAAATGATGTCATCCGATTGTGTGGACCAGGCGTATGTGAATGATACGATGGTCAGATGGGCACATGTAACTCAACTCATTTATTGGTTTTTGTCTTTATCAGCTTGACAAATCATTGTGTATTATAACGTGTTTGTTAATTAATAACTTTGACTGGAATTTCTCTCATTTTGTCCGGTGTACTACAGGTGTAACCATGGCTACGAAGACTCGCAACAAGGCAGAGTATCTGCTCAGCCTTGTAAAGAGGAACGATCATCAGGAGTTGAAAAAGGAAATCCTTCAGGAGGACGGTACTTTGAAGGAAGGTGTGGAGGAGCTCACATGTACCACCCACATTGGAGAGGAAGAGACATTATTGGTATGCAGTATGCACACATCCACATACTTGGTCTGTTTCATCGCAATTGTTGTTTATCTCTCCCGACAGGTAAAACCAAGTCCAATCGCGATATCTAACTCGCTTTCAATTGGGAGATTGCTCCATCAGATTCCATTGCCGAAATTGTTCTCTTGTGGCGGAGAGTATTCATGTATCATTCCTCTTCACTATGCTTATAATTTCACAGAGTGGTAGGAAAAACTCCTGTTCTTAGTGGCGATAGATAAGCGATAATTGTGATGAAACTGACCAAGTACAAACACACCATGCGCGCACACGCACACATACACATACACATACACATACACACACATACGGAACTGTACTGTACTGCACTGTGTACTTGCTCACTGCCATGACTGGTTACGCGAGTCTCCCTCGAAGAGGGGAGAGAGATTTAAACGGAATCTTGGAAAGATGACTCAATTGGCTATTGAACCGCCCAACGGCCGAAACCCCTGAAATACCCAAACTATGGGTGGACTTGAAACTGATCCCACTTTTGGGCTCGCCACACCTTACTAAGTGGGCGTGGACAAGGTGCAGAAAAAGGATTGACGGCATCAGGGTACAGGCCCGGCGGAACCGGTCCGGTTGGTCAGGCCATGGCCGGACCAACTGCTTGGCCCCTGACCGACGGGTGTGATAATTGTTGAGTAGGTCATGTGAATACCCTGCATTACAATATACACAAACACAAACTGTATGAAAGACTAGGGTATGGCAGGACCAGTCAAAACCTCCTTCCGCCGGTCCTGGGGTATCTGTCCCGGGATCCAACTGCAGTTACCCCTGCTCCCAGTAAAGGTAATACTTGCTACAGGTAGACTCCCTCTAATTCGAATACGGTATAATTCAAACATTCCGTGTAATTCGAACTTTTTCGTTGTACAGATCTCCTGCAAGTCACTTCAAGTCGAATTCGAATGCATAATTCGAAGTACAAAATGTGCACCGATTGGATAATTCGAACTCTGCCTTCGTACAGAAGAGCTGTTTACAGTACAGTGACTATGCTCTTCGAACGCTCATTTCGAAGTGAGATGGAGGTGCTATAATTGTAATTCGAAGTTCATTCTTTTCTCCTTCTCTAGCCAAGAGTAGCTCAAAAATCGATCCCTGGTCCGCTCCTGGATCGACAGTAGCGTTCAAGAAACCCACCTTCTCTCGAAATTTGATTCGAGCCGGTGCGAGGCAAAGTGCAAAGATTTGATTGAAGACGACTAAGATCAAGATATCAAGTCAATTGACTTTGTGTCGATCCAGTGTTTATTATGAAACGGCCTGGTCTATTGTCCATGACCACCTATGTTTCGCTGATGCGAACAAAATGTGCGAAAATTATCAGCACACGATTTCGAGCATTTTGACATACATAATCAGTGCATTGGGCTGCATTTGAATAATTGGAAGTTCCTGATAATTCGAAGTTGGGGCCTGGCAATTTAAGGTTCGAATTAAAGGGAATCTACCTGTACTAGTGTGGGTGGCTAAATCAGAGTGGATCTGATACATTTTACAAGCTTCACTAGCACCATGATAACACAAAAGTAAATCTAGCCAGTAGCAGTCCATGGTCAACAGGTATGTATACTTCAAATAGAAAGTATATGAACCCTGAAACCAACAAAGGTGGCAGATACAACCTTACACCTTCAAGCAGCCGAGCCCGTTGGCAACTGACACAACACTCTCTAGCACACACGCACACACGAATGCATGCAAACACATACATACAGACACACACACATCCACACATCCACACACATACACACACACACACACACACACACACACACACACACACACACACACACACACACACGTGCACATACACAAACACACTACTACTGCCTCTAACTGTTATAGCTTTGCTGCCGCAAGAGACACACCACTTCGGAAGGAGCCAGAGTCATTGTCAGGAGCAGAATCTGAGCTGACGATCCAGGTCACTCTGTCGACGGAAAAGAATGATAATTATAGAAATTGCTGGCTGTGAGAAAAAACTAGGACGTGTATGTTATGTACATCACTGTTTGAATACACATGGGTGTGTGTATTTGCGTGTGTGAGTGTGTGTGTGTGTGTGTGTGTGTATTTGCGTGTGTGTGTGTGTGTGTGTGTGTGCGTGTGTGTATTTGCATGTGTGTGTGTACATGTGTGTGGGTGTGTGTGTGTGTGTGTGTGCGTGTGCATGTATGTGTGTGTGTGTGTGTATGTGTGTGTGTGTGTGTGTGTGCGCGTTGCTTGACTTTGTGTTCATACCATTCCTGCATACCAGGGTCGGTTGCTATTCTATGCCTGCAATAACGGCTCGCTGGAGTGTGCCTGCATCCTTGCAGACTGTTGCGGAGAAACTGTGATCAACCAGTTGTATCTCTATGATGTAGGTCTGTGTGTGTGTGTGTGTGTGTGTGTGTGTGTGTGTGTGTGTGTGTGTGTATGAGTGCTGGGTATTCATTCCTCACACTGTCCCAGTTGCCAAACACACTGCTGCTCTGTACGATTACTGCCCTTGAATGCGACTATCCAGGTGTTTGCATGGTTTCATTTTAAACAGGAAGTGCATCGATTTTTCAAGTAGGGTACAGAAGAAAGACAATTTGATATCGGTTCGAATGGCATAGCTATCGCTTCCATACGATAAGCCAAACTTGCCAAATCGCCAATTGTATGCTCACGTTGCCATTAGCCCTTTCCAAAATGTGCTCTTTTAATTCACACTTAGTGCTTTTCGCGTCCCTCAAAATAATATTATGCTGAAAAAGTGCTCTTTTTTCAGTAAAAGCAGGCAAAAAGTGCTCTTTTTTCAGTGAAGCATAGCCATGATACATGTTCAGATATGAACCCAACCTGAGGAATGATTACGCACTCTTCCAGTTATGGGTCCACGAAAGCCAAAACAGGAAGTAAAGTTCAAAAACCCACTTTTTACAGCATTGTGTACAACGGGGTACAAGCTTCACCAACTTGTTGCCCCCCAAAAAGCGGCGTGCCAACTTCCAAGGCCCATCGAGCACTCAGAAACTGGGATCGCATGCATGAGCAAACAGATTTTAGCACCTTTTCAGCTGAAAAAGCTAAAAAAAAGGCAATATTCACCAAAAACGCAATAAAGGGCGAAAGAAACGGGCTTTTCCAAAAAGGAAAAAAAGGGCGAGCACCTTTGGGAAAGGGCTAGTTCCCATATCGACCAGCGCTGTGATGACGTATGAAAGGCTTAGCTCCACCACAGACAAGGTCGATCACTGCAGGATTTAGTCATTTTCAATTGTAAAAATTAAAAAAAGTTTATTATCGTGTCCGTTCCCGAAGGGAACTCACGACGGCCGCTAACACCCGGTAAACCCTAGTTGTATTCACGATGTAAAAGAAGTGCTATGTTCAATGCTGTTAGTGCTGCGAACTGTTTATCGGCCTTCTCCTGCATTTCCTTGGGCTGACTGTGCCTAGGAAATGTTTCCTCTAGGAGAAGATGCTCGGTATTCGCCATCTCTCCTGAGACATTTTCGGCAAAATTTCAAAACTACGACATTATTTTATTTGTCAATCTCCACCACCTGTCGTCTCACCTGGCTTCAGAAGATGTTACGAGAGATAGGAGATTCGCCTGGAAGAATCACATCCATCTTCAGGAAGTGGAAAGAGCAAACGGCATGGTAGTTGGTTGGGGGAAAGGCTGAACGTCTGATTTGTCCCAACCAAGATCTCAGCATGTTATTCGTCACTATTTTCTCTTGTCTGCTGATGTCTCAGCAGTCCAGCTTTCTCCTGTCGGTGTCACGTCCCAGTACCCAACCGAGAGGACTACTAACAAACAGTTCAATGCACTAACAGCATTGAACACAACCCTTCTTTCACTTCGTGAATCCAATGAACCCATTGAAAATGATCAAATTCTGCAGTGATCGACCATCTCTGTGGTGGAGCTACGCCTTTCATACGTCATCACTGCACTGGTTGTTATTGCAACGCGAGCATACAATCGGCCATTTGGCAAAATTGGCTTATCGTATGGAAGCGATAGCTATGCCATTCGAACCGATGTCAACTTGTCTTTCCTCTGGACCCTACTGGAAAAATCGATGACTTCTCCTTTAACATTGTACTTTTAAAATTGCCTGGGGATCTCGGTTTGTATTCTAGTGAATATCAGCCCATACTCACTTCGGCTTCAGGTAATACTATATACTCATACTTCCTCCGTTTACAAAAACTTCGTGATGGATTTGGAATTTTGGATTGATATGAAAACGCTTAGAAAAAGTCAAGAACAGTTTGTATCGACTGCAAATTTCTGAACGAAGGTAGTTCAGCGTATGCACAGCGTCCTCACAAGAGAACTTGTTGGCAGAATGAACAGAGAGTTCCGTTTGCGTCACTTTCGCTCGACTCATTTTTAGGGCTGCAACGGGTAGGAATTTGGTCGGGTAACGGGTTCGGGTATTTTTATCCGGGTAGCATAGGTACCATATCAGGTATTTTTTGACACAGTTTGTAGTGTGAGTGTGCACTTGCGTTACATAGAAAGTGTACAGCAAGCACGCATCTGTGCTGGTTACATGCACCGTTGCAAAAACACCATACTCCAACTACCCGATCGGGTTCTCAGGAGCAAATTGCTACTCGACTACCGTATCAAATTACGGGTAGCACGGGTACCCTACTACTCGTTGACACCCCTATTCATTTTTGACCCTGCGTCCCTGTCGTCATCTGCTGCACGCGAGTCGTCATCTCTCTGGCGTCGTTGTTCAGCTCGTTTCAGCCTTGCGTCGGCTTCTTTGATCACCCTCAGCTGAACTTGATATCGTCGTCATTCAAGTAAGTTGGCTTTCAAGGTGCGTGATCCGCCGTGGTTATTACTTGTTTCCACCAGGAAGTTAAAATATTTACGACTCCCTGGTTTCATCTCCGCTCTCCAGAACTCCTCGAAACAAGGAGTAAAGGCACAGCAAAACTGATTCCACTTTCTCTTATGGATACTCCTGCCAGCACTCAACGGTAGCGGCTAGCAAGTGCAGTCAACTTTCCTTAGTTACGAGACTCGCATCGGACTGCAGACTTCTGAAAGAATGCATGGTCATCAGCATTCGAATCTGGGCTTTGCGCAGGTTGAACAAGAATTTACTTGGATTCAGAATAATTTCATTGCGCCGTACGATCGGAGCATCTCCTTGTTCACTCGCTCATTGTGTGCGTTCGCTGCTCCGTTCCATCGCTCTGTATCACTCTCAAACTCAGTGCTAGAGTAGCAAAGAGGCCAAGTAGTACATTATCCCCTTGGAAAAGTGATATTTCAGTTTCGCTCGCCATGACTGTCATCACCTATGTTGCCACAGCGCAACCATCGATTCCGCTCGGCTTGTTGTAAAAGGTCGCTTTCCTTGCACCGTCCCTCTTTCATGCGATGCCAGGGAAGTCCGAGAAAGTGATCGCGACTCATTTCACGCCAGATTGTGCGCAGACCAGTCCCTCAAAAATTCATCACGAAGTTTTTGTTAACAGAGGAAGTATATTATATGTGTGTGTGTGTGTGTGTGTGTGTGTATGTGTGTGTGTGTGTGTCCCATATGGTGCAGTGGCGTGTGCAGTGATTTCCAATCGATACGTTGCGGATTCGATTCCCGATAATAATGGTTACACACGTCTTACTTCTCTTTCTCAAACTCCTCCTGACTTTTCTTTCATTCTCCTGGGTGGTTACCAACAGCCAGTGCATGCCGGAGTATGTGGTGTGACGTGTGTGCGGGAAAAAATTAAAAAGACCAAAAAGTAGGAACTCACTGGCCAGAAAAAACCACTTCATAGCTGTGTGGTGTAGACCAGGCTGAATAGTGGCGGTTGATTCTTCAGCCTTGCAAGCTGTTGAATGGTGCAATCCCAGTACAAGTCCAAGGTCCAAGGTGTTTTTGTGTGTGTGTGTGTGTGTGTGTGTGTGTGTGTGTGTACATTTGTGTTTGTATGTGTATATATAATTATATGTGGATTCACAGGAAGTGTGAGTTACGAAGTCTGAAGAGGGTGTTGAACGGTCTCTGCTGGGATGACGACTACACCATAGCTCAGTGGCTAGAGCATCCAGGGGCGTCACCCGTGATGGGCACGGGGGCACATGCACCCCCCTAAAAAATTCAACCTTTTTTTGCGAACTCCTGGTTATGAAAAGTGTAGTGCTGGTAGAATCTACTAATAAACTGCATGCACTAAAACTAGTTTTACTGCGCTGCTGCGATCGCGTGAGTGTATGTAGCGAGTGCATGTAGCGAGTGCATGTAGCGAGTGCATGTAGCGAGTGCATGTAGCGAGTGCATGTAGCGAGTGCATGTAGCGAGTGCATGTAGCGAGTGCATGTACATAACCGATTGTACTAGTACTCTAGTACTACTGCTACTAATTTAGTACTTACCTACTACGCGCGTACGTGTGCACGTGTGCGCAGTGCTGCATCCTTTGGCCTTGTACTAGAATCTACACGCGCGGACCGCCAAATCGCGCAGTCATCATCATGGTCATGATGATGCATGCTTTTATGGTTTGGCAGATGTCGATGCGGCGCAGCACATACACCGACCGTCCATGTTTTTCGACCGTTAAGGCATCGAAAGACAGTCTTTACTTGCCAGATCGATGCACCACACAATTTTCAGTTGTGAGTCGCGGCGGCGTGCTGGGTGTTTGTTTGAAACAGAAGAAATAAATGTGTGGTCGCAAGTAATAGTCAGGTCACCACACTTGAATAGTCTTTGGAGCTGTTTCCTCTCAAAATGTCGTCTTCTCGAAAAAGGAAAGCGTCTATCCAGCTCACTATCAGCGAACATTTTCGTGTTTTCCTGTGCAAAATCTTTCCTGTGCAAAATTCCTGTGCACCCCCTGTGAATGGATCCGGTGACGCCCCTGGCATTGCTAGCTACAAGCGAGGGTTCCTGGTTCGAGGCCTGGTGATGACAGTCAATTTTTTCTTCAGATTTTTCCCGTTTGTGTCTTTCCCTCAAACTAGTCAAGATATTTTGACCCCGGGCTCCCCGCATGCTGTGGGTACGTGAAGTGTGTGGGTATAGTGAGGGCTGCGTCCCACCCGCCTGTGTGGATTCACAGGAAGTGTGAGTTACGAAGTCTGAAAAGGGCGTTGAACGGTCTCTGCTGGGATGACGACTACCCCGTAGCTCAGTGGCTAGTGCATCGCTAGCTACAAGCGAGGGTCCCTGGTTCGAGTCCTGGTGGTAACAGTCAATTCTTTCTTCAGACTTTTCCCATTTGTGTCTTTCCCTCAAACTAGTCAAGAAAATTATATGTGTGCAAGTGTGTGCATCAGTGTACGTGAGTTGTTGCTGTGTATACTGTAATTGTGATGTGTGTGTGTAAATGTGTGCACGTGTGTGTGTGTGCACGTGTGTGTGTGTGCACGTGTGTGTGTGCACGTGTGTGTGTGTGCACGTGTGTGTGTGTGTGCACGTGTGCTCGTTTGTGTGTATGCGTACTTGTGTGTTTTGTTCGGCTGGGAGTCCGTACATATGTGGTGTGTGTGGGTGTACGCATGCCTACACTACCTATGTTGTTCTTACTAGACTCGATTTTCAAGGTGCACTCCACTACATGTAGCATGTTGGGTGGGTTACATCGATATTGCCAAGTACCTTGTCAAGTGTAAAGCCAAGGTGGACAAGACTGATTCGGTAAGTTGCACACCACTCTGCCTGTACATTGAAGAATGACTTAAGATTGGCCCGTGTTCTAATCAAAGACACCTGACTTTGCCTGTACTGCAACAGAGTCCATGCAGATGAACCATGGTGACTTCTATCTGAAGTCGGAACCTCAAAAGTATAATTATTACGAATATTGATAACCATGGATTCTTGCACAATGTCAATGATATGGGCGCGCCCACTTTAAAAAACCATGTTGAAATTTCTTGTAGACTACATGTAGAAGACACTGTGTTGTCAGTAGCATGGGTAAAACTGATCAAAGGAAAAGACCATTTCTTGCTAAATGCATGAGAATCATTCTGTAATGATGGATGGAGGTAATCAGTGGATATTTGGCTGGTGACCGTCTAGCCTAACACTATACTGTTATCAACCCTAAGATATATCAGCTAGGACGCATTGGCCCTGATTTGTGTGTTCAGAAGGAAAATATTTTGTCCCTAAAAGTTGTTTGGTGTTGGTCCACATGTGGGTGCTGGAAATAATCTTTCCTCTTGATACATTTGATGTGTTAGTATTATTAGTTTATTTTCATGCTGTTTTTGCCTTTTTGACTTCGAAGCTATTCTCACTTGTGCTGTGATGTCTCTCTCTCTCTCTCTCCCTCCCTCCTTCCCTCCCTCCCTCCCTCCCTCCCTCCCTCCCTCCCTCCCTGCCTGCCTGCCTGCCTGCCTTTCTCCCTCCCCTCCTCCCTCCCTCCCCCCTTTCTCTCTCCCTCTCTCTCTCTCTCTCTCTCTCTCTCTCTCTCTCTCTCTCTCTCTCTCTCTCTCTCTCTCTCTCTCTCTCTCTCTCTCTCTCTCTCTCTCTCTCTCTCTCTCTTTCTCTCTCTCTCTCTCTCTCTCTCTCTCTCTCTCTCTCTCTCTCTCTCTCTCTCTCTCTCTCTCTCTCTCTCTCTCTCTCTCTCTCTCTCTCTCTCTCTCTCTCTCTCTCTCTCTCTCTCTCTCTCTCTCTCTCTCTCTCTCTCTCTCTCTCTCTCTCTCTCTCTCTCTCTCTCTCTCTCTCTCTCTCTCTCTCTCTCTCTCTCTCTCTCTCTCTCTCTCTCTCTCTCTCTCTCTCTCTCTCTCTCTCTCTCTCTCTCTCTCTCTCTCTCTCTCTCTCTCTCTCAATTTCTTGCCCAAGTAATTGGTGAATTCACGTTCGGCTCTAAAATTTCCTCGTGTGGATAGCGCAGATGCATGTCCTGCATTGAACGACACGTTGTAGTTACTCAGTAGAAATTCAGTTTGTGACATGATTCCTACTCTAGCAGTCCAGTCAGTTTTGAGCGTACCTAGTTTGACACCAATGAGATCATGTGGTGTGATAGATGGCATGTACACTGCAATTCAAAGGAGTTGTGTGCTTTTTAACTAGCCACGCACTTAGACGTACAAATAGGTTATTCTCAATCCCAGAAGGTAGTGGGAATATTAATAATAGCATGGTACATTCGCAACACCATGCAGGTCATTTCTCCATTGCATGATAAACGTGTGTGCGTGTTTGTATATGCGAGATGCAAATGTGTTGCATTGTACTTTCCAGCACTGACTAGCAGGAACATTTCCAAGTGATCAGTAGTCTACATGAGAATCCTTTGACTATCGCCCAGGAGTTGCTGGTACTCCGTGACAATTCTCCATAGCATTGGGGTGGTGATTTCAGCACCAGGCCTTCTCTGTGTTGTGCAAGAAGCAACAGGAGTTCTCTGATGACAAACTTTGGACGCGAAATGCGCGAGTCGACTAGGATTTTGAGGCGCTGCCTCCTTTGGAGTTAGAGCTATTTCCTCTTCAACATCACAGATCGACAACTGAAGGACAGTGTTATGTAGCTGGAAAGTTTATTCCGTCCTGATATTATTTGAATTTGTTTGAAGTTCGAACCGAAGCGCACATTTTAATAAGTAGGACCAAGTACTGTAGAACGGGTAATTTTAGCGACGGAAAAACCTGAGCGAATTTACCGATCGACTCATTTTCGCTAAAGTTTCGAGTCGTTAATCCGTTGAGACATTAGTAGTGCACTGGTGATCCGTGCGTAAAATCGTAGCAAATCGCTAAAATATAACGTCGCTAACCGGTTGACAATGGGAAAACGCTAAAATTTATAGTCGCTAAAATTACCCGTTCTACAGTATCTACTTTTTATACCCACTCCCATCTGGGGCAATGATCAGGTACAACCATTGGGGTACAATCATGATGTCATACCCCCTTCACCACCTCCAAACCCCGAAAAATCATTTTTTACGTAAAAACCGGGCGCCCGGTTTTTACCCCAAAAATGGGGTACTATCAATAGTACCCCTTTTTTGGGCTTGGGATGACCCTACTACAAAATCGGCTCGACACATATTACTGTGATGCAAGCGACTCCGAAGACGTAACTCCGTGTGAGAGTGACGATGCAGCCATGGCTGGCCTTCATGAGTTTGGTGTTGGGCTGATTACTTCGGTATTCAGCTTAAAGGGGAAGTTAAGGCAAAAATTAAAATTTCACCAGTTGTAGTCTTCGGGGTGCTGAGTCGAATGGTCTTGGTCCGAGAAAGCTGAGACGCTCCCTTCCTACTTGAATCCCAATCGAACTCGCGCACTTCCACCGAAACTGGGTGACTGCGCCCTACTAGATGGTGATTTGTATGCAAAATGTCACTAAAAGCGCCATTTCGTTCTTATAAAAGCACGGATGACTGCGATTGGCCCATATGTTGTAGTCTTTTGGACGCTGAGTCGACTGGTTTTGGTCCGAAAAGGCTGCGATGCAGCGTTCCTCCTTTATTCCCAATCGAACATGGTTGAACAAGCGGTCACGTGCTCCTGGGTGCCCAAATCACCTGGTCACCACGCCAGCAGGCGACAACTTTCACACGAAGGTTCAACTCGAGTGACAGGACTGCACCCAAAAAAGGACAAACAGGCTAGTAAGTTGTACCCTGCAGGCACGGTGACCAGGTGACTGGCGTACGCAGGCGCACGTGACCGCTTGTTCAACCATGTTCGATTGGGAATAAAGGAGGAACGCTGCATCGCAGCCTTTTCGGACCAAAACCAATCGACTCAGCGTCCAAAAGATTACAACATATGGGCCAATCGCGGTCATCCATGCTTTTATAAGAACGAAATGGCGCTTTTAGTGACATTTTGCATACAAATCCCCATCTAGTAGGGCGCAGTCACCCAGTTTCGGTGGAAGTGCGCGAGTTTGATTGGGATTCAAGTAGGAAGGGAGCGTCTCAGCTTCCTCGGACCACGAACATTCGACTCAGCACCCCGAAGACTACAACTGGTGAAATTTTAATTTTTGCCTTAACTTCCCCTTTAGGAAATGGCCACACTGCCGCGTTTCCGACTGATGAAGAAGCAGCAGCTATTGCAGACGAGGCTGATATAGTTATCAGATCTTTGGGGAGCAGAGTCATCAAAATGGAGAAGAGTGGTGCGAGTGCTCTAAGTGCTGTTCGATACCGACTCGCTCGGATTCCAGTGGCCTGCGACATGGTGACTTTTTGGTGCACTTTGGACGGTGCTCGATTGGAAAACAGTGACGGTTCTTTGAACCAAGGGCATGACTCTTCGATTCAGGGCTGACACCACTACGGGATCTGAAAGTTTTAGGTCCGGGAGCTGTTCATTGTTTTGTCACTTGTCACGGTTGTGGACTCATCGTTGTAGCATAGATGAGGGTGGACTATTCCGTGCGGAAAGCCAAAATTTCTTTCTGAAAGCACAACTACTGGCAAGGAGAAACGCACATTCTCTGACTACTAGTAGTATATGACTGTACGTAGAGTTAACGGTCTGTTATTGATGAGTCATAATGTGCAACTATTAGCACAATGATGACTGCTTTGGTACTGATATTCAACTATCTGATGTTTAGTTCCATCACGTCTCGAATACGCACGCCAACGTATTCCTCTTTCTCACCTTTTTTCCCCCCGAAACTTAGAACCTTCCTAATTGGAAGGCTGTTGGTGTGCACATTTGAGACGCGATGGTTGATTGTCGGTACGACAGCTGTCATTATTTTGCTAACTGTTGCAATTTGTGACTCATCAATATCATGCTTATAATTATATTATTGTCAGTGTGGGATAACTACGGAAGGCATGTAAAACTTTGGTCACAGTAGGTTATACATAATTTGTAAGATAAAGACTGCAGAGAGATAACACAATCTATGCATGTCTGAACTTGTTTTTACCTGCACACAGTACGGTGGAATTCCTGTTCATCACGCCGCTTTCGGTGGGCATCTGGAAGTCGTCAAATATCTACTGGAACTCCAACCTGAGACTGTCTCTGCGAAGAACAAAGTGAGTCGAGCAATCTTTGGCACTCTAATGGTCACGAGTGCATAACCCAATTGTGTGCAACTTTGGCAAATGACAAATGACGCACTCGGTGCGTCAATTACACTGTAAAAGAAACAATTGACTGTGTAAATCTACACAGGTGCACAGATTCCAGGACGCGCTCTATGCATGTTGAGACTCTTGTTCGTGTGCTGTGATGTGCTGAACTCAGCACTGCGCTAGTGGGACAAAACAAAGCTCCTCATCGGCAAGCGCTTCTTTCTGAAACTAACTTTGCACAACATCGTTTTGAGGATAACTGCCTCGGGGTTCGAATTGTGGTTGACTCGAAGACTTTTTTGCGGAGTTCCAGCGACATCGAAAGAGGCCAAGCTTTGGCCAGCAGAGCCCTGGATGGATTTTTGCAAAGCGTTCTTGCGACGGCGCAATTCCTGTTCCAACTGGAAAGAGTACGACTGATCAAGTCGTTGTAAGTCTAGTTTGGACCAAACAGTTACTGAGATTCGGCAAGATACGGAAGTACCAGTTTTCAGTGACCAGCCAAAACATGATTGAGAACAGCCTTGTATGCCCCAAAAAAAGTTGGCCAAATATGTACTCGAAGGATGTAATAACAAAAGTAACATTATTGATGATTGAACCAACTGAGATACGCCTGGAAGGAACC